GGGGGGGCATGGGTTCGGTGACAGACACGCACGCGCCGGCGCGGCACACAGAGCAAGGCGTTCAGCCGGACGAGTAACGCGCCATTTGTGCAGCTCAAAAAAAGGGGGAGGATTCGTGTAAATACTTTTTCAACCGCGTTTTCAACCCTTAGGGGCTGTTCAGAAAGCACTTGGACTTTAGGGGGGGATGCAAATGTTATGGGGTTCCAAAGGATTCAGAATGGTCATTGGAGTCCAAAGGGACATCGTGATATCTTGTACCCCAGGGTAGAAATACCATGGGGCTCAAAAAATAACCGTCCTGGTCCTTTTGGAACCCCATAGTAATATTTGTATCCCCCCAAAGTCCAAGTGCTTTCTGAACAGCCCCAACAGCCGCTTTCCAGTGGGGGGGACCTGGAAGGACATCCACTACCGCCGTCGCGTCCGAGATGAGGCTGGGCTTCAGAACTTCCCACACCCCGAGGCTGAGCGAACACTCCATCCGCTCCATCCAATAACACCTCGCGGGGCCGAACGTCCACGCCGGAACATAAACGGTTGTCAAACGGGATTTATAAGGGGGCTCTTTACTGCCGCGTGCTGCCGCGGGTGTACTGCCGTGCGGTGCAGCACTCCGAAATGTATTGGGCGAGGTCTGGGCTGGCGGCGGCGCAGCATAGCGCAGCATAAGCGCAGTATAGCTCAGCGCACTCGCAGGACGCGCGAAATCGAAATTAAAAAATATAAAATATAGTTATATCTCCTTTCGCATGTCCCGCGGGGGCAGACGCACGACTGTCGTCAGTCAGTAAATTCCCCCTGGCAGCAGTCAGTAAATCCCCCCCGGCAAGTAGTCAGTAAATCAGTCGGCAGTCAGTCCATCAACACCTACCCAACACTTGCCACCACTGGGGCCCAGATTTGGCGAGCGCCATCTCTTTTTCGACAGCAGGGCCCATGGGCGTGGCGGGGCGCGGCTGTGCGGGGCGCGGCGGGGGTCGCACACACCGCAAAAGCTTTCTCCCGCTCACGCTCCGTACTTACACATGCACGCATGCACGCTCACACGCCGTCCCTTCGAACCTCGTAAAACAAAAACTACGACGTCGAGTGCGACTCATCCTCGTGTTCCGTCATGAGCTACCCCCACCTCCACGCGCCCTTCCCTGTTTCCTTCGCACTTATTTTTTTTTCCTTTTTCTGCTCGCGTTTCTCGCACGCCCGTCCCCCGCCTTGTACTAATTTGGACCGAGATGAGCACAGGCACCTGCCTGGTCTGCGCAGGCACGCGCGCTCGTTGTCGCCCATGTCGACCATACCCAACGACAGGGGCCACTCAGCCAATCGACGCCCAACGAGAACACTGACCTGCCCGCGATGAATCGGTTCATTGTCGGCCAAACGACCAGGCTGAGCTCGTGCTGCTTGACTCGACGCCCGAGGTGGGCGCGCGATGTCGCCTGAGCGCCCGACCCGGGAGATGCGTCACATTATGGAAGTGTATCGCACATTATGAAGCTCTCGGCACACAGCGGGGAGTGGGCAGGTCTGGGCCGCCTGTGCGTGCGGTGGTGGCTGCTGTCGGGGGGCTCACGACGCCCTGCACGGATTCCAAGAAGGCCCAATCATAAAGCATCCACAGAGGTTCAAAATAAAATGGTTTCTCATACTCGGTCGCCGTGAGTTGAAAACATACCACAAAGAAGCCACAGAAAAATAACATTTTACAGAAACGTGTCGAAATGTTTTTTCACTGTCGTACCAGGTCGTATGCTAGAGGGTGTAAAAGATCTCATTTTTGGCGGATGCATATATATTCCCTATAATGTGGTATTACGCCGGTATTTCATAAAAATAAATGATCATTTGCTTTTGTGGTTTTGCGTCTCCTTTACGCCTACACTGATAGGTGTTCCACTGTGTGTAGTTCTGCACTTTCGACTGTTCAACTGCGCTCTTGAACAATTCCTTTAACTGTCACTCTGTGAAGGAAGTGTTCACTAAGGTGTTAAAACACTAAACACTTGAAAGCACACTTTTTAGTAAAAACAGCCAAGTTCAACTCTTTAAGGTTAAATGTTTTAAGGAGTTGAAGGGTTGAACACTGAACGTTGATGCGTTGACCACTTTATTTATCAGTGTATATTCGCGTAAAACCAAACCAAAACGAGTGCAAAGACCTTGTCGCGAATTGCCCGAATGTTGAGCAAAAACACCGCCGGAGTACATCCGTGTGCAACGGGCGCCTGCCTGCTAGGCAAACATCTGAGCACGCGTGCTGCGGGGCTATCTAGTAGGTGCGCGTCGACACAGACACGGAGGTGTGCTCCGGCGGTTTTTTGCCTAAGTTTTCGGGTAGTTCTCTTTCCCCCGCCTTTCTTCTGTTTCCATGAAGCAGTGTACGTGCGTGTGCGGGTGGAAAAAAATGTCTAGTATGTATGATTGCCGAAAAGGGGAAAAGTTCTATATTCAGGAAAGTAAGTGAGGGTGGTACAAACCCCCCTGACTACCTTCGTCAACTTGGTCTTCGACTCATCTGTGGCACGCCGCCGTGCCTTACTGACGACAATGCGAGTAAACACACACACACACACACACACACACACACATACGTACACGCGTGCGCGCGCACGCACACACACACACTGGCGGGCGTATGGCGGGGGGGCCAGGGCGCGCTGGAGGGGGGGTCTCCCCTCTCCGTCGCTCCGCAGCCCGCCTCGCACGCTCGCGCTCGCTCCACGCTACCTGCCTACCACCCCTTTCCGTTTTGTTTGGAGCAACTAATAAAAAGGTGACTCCGACGCCGACGGGGCACATTCGTCCGTGAGGCGTCTTCGAGTGAGCCAGTGAGCCAGTGAGTGTGTCGTGTTCAGTGTTGAGTGAGTGAACCCTCTTTGGACTACCATCACCGCCATGAAGATGTTCGCGTCCTCCTCCGTCATGCTGCTGCTCGCCGTGAGCGCCGCCCTCGCGGTGCCGGCGCCCGCCGCCGTGGACGACTCGGCCAACGAGGTGCCCGGCAAGGACGTGTGGAGCCTGGCGGCCCGCGCCCTGGACCACTGCGGCGGCTCCGGCGACCTGGGCTCGTGCCTGGGCGTCAAGGCCGTGACCGTGATGGAGCGCCTGGCCCGCGCCGGCAACCTGGACGTGCTCGGCGGCACCGTCACCCTGGTGCGCACCTCGGCGCAGCGAGACGCCCGCGCCATGCCCACCGAGGCCGAGCTGCAGAGCGCCCTGCCCCAGGACTCGGCCAGCCGCTCGGCCAAGCTCATCGACATGCTCGTCGACGCCACCCTCCGCTTCTTCGAGTCCCACACCGTCCAGCTCCGCCTGCCGCACGCCGAGCCCCAGGCCGTCGCCCGTGCCATCGAGGAAGGTATGTAGCAGCTCTAGGCAGGCGAAAATTCCTTAAAAACCTAGTTGTGAAGGAACCGCTACTACTTCCGTCGCGCTCCGCTCATAGTGGGTCAGGGCGCGCTCGGGCCGCCCCCACCAGCGCGTCACACCCCTGGCCCGGCCCGGCCCAAGAGGAGGACTCTTCCTATCACTTTCGACCTGCTCCGGAATTTGCATGGTGGGCTCATTAGTCTGGCCCGCTGGTCCTCCGGGCCCCGCCACGTGAGGCCGCCCCGCCCGCCTCGCCCCGCCCCGCCCCGCCGCGCCCCGTC